CCCCGTCAGCCTGACAGCTACACTGGCTGAGAGTGTCATACCCCCCGTCAGCCTGACAGCTACACTGGCTGAGAGTGTCATACCCCCCGTCAGGCTGACAGCTACACTGGCTGAGAGTACTATACCCCCGTCAGGTTGACAGCTACACTGGCTGAGAAAGCCACACCCCACGTCAAACTGACAGCCACAGTAGATGCTCCGGCTGTCTGTGAACCCCCAAAAGCTCATCTGGGTTTAGAGCGTGAGCCTGGCTCATTACTCACTGTCCTTCATTCATTATATATGCCAGAATTTATATCGATGCTATTTATATATGCCCTGATTAATATTGATCAAGTGTTGTAATATAATATTAATAATAATAATAATAATAATAATAATAATAATAATAATAATAATAATAATAATAATAATAATAATAATAATAATAATAATAATAATAATAATAATAACAATAATAATAATATAATAATAATAATAATAATAATAATAATAATAATAATAATAATAATAATAATAATAATAAATAATAATAATAATAATAATAATAATAATAATAATAATAATAATAATAATAATAATAATAATAATAATAATAATAATAATAATAATAATAATAATAATAATAATATATTTCTACACGTACATGTACAAGGTATACAGACCATAGCTGATATCAGTGACATACTACTATATAGAAAGTCCCTTGTTATGCAGAGCATTTCGGGAAATTAGGTCAGTTTTGTCCCCAGGATGCGACCCACACCAGTCGACTAATATCCAGGTACCTATTTTACTGATGGACGAAAATGAGCAGCAGGTGCCTCAAGGAAACAGGCCCTAAGGGAGGGTAGACGGCCCGTGATGATGGTCATTCACAGAGTGAGTGTGGAGATCCATGGTTGTACACACACAGACTTGTAACTTACCTTTCTAGGTACCTATCCATGTAACTCCCTATGTACCTACCTATGTATATACCTATGTCTCTGGCCGTGTACCTACAATATATGGGTCCCTACACCTCTCTCTCTCTCTCTCTCTCTTGTTCCTACTCTCTGTCTGTATATTTTTCTAACGCGTACCTACATATCTACCCAATAATGGTCTACCATCCACCCGACCACCAACCACCGACCACCTACCACCCTCAAACCACCCGCCCACCAACCACCATCCACAAACCACCCACCCACCACCACAAACCACCCACCCACCACCCACAAACCACCCACTACCTACCACCCACCCACAACCCATCTACCACCCACAAACCACCCACTACCTACAACCCACCCACAACCCACCTACCACCCACACGCCACCCACACGCCACCCACCCCACCCATCACCCACAAACCACCACAAACCACCCACCCACTACCCACAAACCACCCACTACCTACCACCCACAAACCACCCACCCACCACCCACAAACCACCCACTACCTACAACCCACAAACCACCCACCCACCACCCACAAACCACCCACTACCTACCACCCACAAACAACCCATCTACCACCCACAAACAACCCACTACCTACCACACACCCACCCACCCACCACCCACTTCAGCCAGTTCACCTCCCAGCTTTAAGCTCTTAAAGCGTAGACACAGACAGCACTGTCTGTGAACTTTCATGAAGGGGGAGGGGAGGGAGGGGAGGGAGAGAGGGAGGGAGGAGGGAGATGGGAGAGGGGAGTGTGCCTTGAAAGGCTTTTGATCCACGGAAATGAATCAACACACACAGAGAGACACACACATGACCAGGGTAGTAGATGGTACCATGGTACACACATAGTGTGGTAGACACATAGTGTGGTAGACACATAGTGTGGTAGACACATAGTGTGGTAGACACATAGTGTGGTAGACACAGTGTGGTGGATACATAGTGTGGTAGATACAAAGTGTGGTAGGTACGGCGTGGTAGACACATAGTGTGGTAGACACATAGTGTGGTAGACACATAGTGTGGTAGATACAGTGTGGTAGATACATAGTGTGGTAGATACAGTGTGGTAGATACATAGTGTGATACATAGTGTGGTAGATACAAAGAGTGGTTGATACATAGTGAGGTAGATACAAAGTGTGGTAGATACGGTGTGGTAGACACATAGTGTGGTAGATACATAGTGTGGTAGACACATAGAATGGTAGATACACAGTGTGGTAGACACATAGTATGGTAGATACACAGTGTGGTAGACACATAGTGTGGTAGATACATAGTGTGGTAGACACATAGTATGGTAGATACACAGTGTGGTAGACACATAGTGTGGTAGATACATAGTGTGGTAGACACATAGTGTGGTAGATACATAGTGTGGTAGACACATAGTATGGTAGATACACAGTGTGGTAGACACATAGTGTGGTAGATACATAGTGTGGTAGACACATAGTATGGTAGATACACAGTGTGGTAGACACATAGTGTGGTAGATACATAGTGTGGTAGACACATAGTATGGTAGATACACAGTGTGGTAGACACATAGTGTAGACAGCCATTTCTATCTGCTGGTTTCATAATCCGCGGAACTCGGTGCTGCCCTCTCTAGGCCTGCCCAGGTCAGTGGGATGCTGGGCCCACTCTCTCTCACTTCAAGGCCTACCCTCTCTCCGGGCACAACTGCTCCCCTCCACGGACTGGCTATCGGTCATTCCCTCACTTTGCCCGTTGTGTACTCACTGCATTCCAATTAAAGTCAAACTAGTCCACGGCCGTATCTTTGCTACCTACGCTACCCCCTTCGGCACTACACCGCTGTTCAAGAGCAAGAACAGCAATAACAGTGGTGACAGCGGAGTCAACGGCAGAGTGAACCTTCTTCTCGAGGTGGAGGGGTCGACGCCAGTAAGCATCCGTCGTCATCCAACGCACCTGCTGGCCTAAGGAGTTGTCTGTTACTCCCAGCGTCTTGACGGGGCCTGAGATAGATCTTCCTTCTAGATTTTCCCACAAAATCTGGACATAGGCGTCACGGTGCCATCTCCTGCCTTAGCAGTCACGTGTTCACCTCATCGCCCTCTCTACAGCCCCTCAACTCTCCAGCACCCTTCTTCTGCCTCCTACAGCGTCCCTACGCCTTTCTCAGCTACAAGAAGTAGAGGTGAGGTCGTCTTAGTGTGTTGGCTTCGCATGCGTTGCAAAGCCACAATCAGACTCACGCTAATGACAACCCGTCTATTTCTTCACCCACTACTGCTACTGATGACAGTCCAGTAAGGCTCCATACTTATGTTGATAAATTAGACACATGTGCAACTCTTGGGTATCTTTATTGAGGAAACGTTTCGCCACACAGTGGCTTCATCAGTCCATACGTAGGAGAAACTTGAAGAACAGGAAGAGAATGAGGTAATCAGTCCCTCAACCTTGAGTCGATGTGTTCAGTCCATCAATCTTGAATAGTATAGAATGGTATTCTATTCAAGATTGATGGACTGAACACATCGACTCAAGGTTGAGGGACTGATTACCTCATTCTCCTCCTGTTCTTCAAGTTTCTCCTACGTATGGACTGATGAAGCCACTGTGTGGCGAAACGTTTCCTCAATAAAGATACCCAAGAGTTGCACATGTGTCTAATTTATCAACATGTCGGTTCTCTGAACCATTCATCTACAAATCCATACTTATGGCCTGAGACCCAGGACAACAGTACATTTCTGTGACATTGACGTACCTACTGACTTGTCCGACTCCTACGCTAGCTATGCTAATTGTTTGCTTGCAGAAATAGTGTTATTGTAGGTATGTGCAACCAGTGTCTCTTTTAAAGCCTGTATTAAGGTCAGGGCAGTGCCTCCCTTTGAGTCATATTTCACACCTTTCGAAATGTTACCGTCAGCCATTGTTTGCAGATGTGAGGATGCAACAGCGTTCGTGGACGAGTAGTCCAGCCTGATGTTTAGCTCTGCAGACAACCTGTATGTAGAAGATTTTAGTTCCAGTGTTGACGTCTCCTGGCTCTGTCCTCGATGAAGCTGCGCGGGCAAGCCAGTTTTCTCTTCCCTCGGGATGGAAGAGTTTTTCTTGCCTGCTGCGTTTTATGTCCATTTTTTATTTACGAGTGAGCGAAAACCAGTCCCTCGCTGGGGTAGCTATTGTAAGTAATTCTTTCACACCTTCGGGCCCACCAGTATTGTCACGTCGGGACGACGCGAGGTGCGTGGCCGAGCAAATGTAGACAGCCATTTCTATCTGCTGGTTTCATATTCCGCGGAACTCCGGTGCTGCCCTCTCTAGGCCTGCTCAGGTCAGTGGGACGCTGGGCCCACTCTCTCTCACTTCAAGGCCTACCCTCTCTCCGGGCACAACTGCTACCCTCCACGGACTGGCTATCGGCCATTCTCTCACTTTGTCCGTTGTATACTCACTCCATTCCAATTAAAGTCAAACTAGTCCACGGCCGTATCTTTGCTACCTACGCTACCCCCTTCGGCACTACACCGCTGTTCAAGAGCAAGAACGGCAGCAACAATAGTGTAGTCGATACATAGTGTGATACATACATAGTGGTAGATACATAGTGTGATAGATACATAGTGTGATAGATACATAGTGTGGTAGATACATAGTGTGGCAGATATAGTGTGGTAGATATCGCTTGGGCTCATATCCAGAGTACCAGCTACTGCCAGGACTCACACCCAGAATACCAACTACTGCCAGGACTCACACCCAGAATACCAACTACTGCCAGGACTCACACCCAGAGTGCCAACTACTGCCAGGACTCACACCCAGAGTACTAGCTACTGCCAGGACTCACACCCAGAGTACCAACTACTGCCAGGACTCACACCCAGAGTGCCAACTACTACCAGGACTTACACCAAGAATACAGGCTACTGCCAGGACTCACACCCAGAGTACCAACTACTGCCAGGACTCATACCCGGAGTGCCAACTACTACCAGGACTCACACCCAGAGTACCAACTACTGCCAGGACTCACACCTAGAATCCATAACGACTCACCTGCTGAAGATGTAACCCCAGCCGGCAGCAGGTGACCAGCAGGAAGCCAGCAGAACCAGCAGACCCAGCACAGCAGAGCGCATCTTCCTGCGGACACATACCAGAGGAAACCTCAGTTAGAAACGATACATATTGGAAGCTCAGTTTAAGCGGATTCATAATGACAGACATTCAGTTTAAGCGGATACATAAGAGCAGAAAAGCTCACTTTAGATGTATACATTCCATAGAGTCGTCCAATTTAAGCGCATACATTCTAGAGAGACACTCCATTTGAGCGGATCCATAATACGAAAACCTCAATTTAAGCGGATACATACTAGAGACACAATATAAGAGGATACATACTAGAGAGACACTCAATATAAGGGGATACATATAGAGAGACGCTCGATTTAAGCGGATCAGCAATGCAAAAATCACTTTAAGCGGATACATACTAGAAAGTCACTCGATAAAAGCAGATACATACTATCAGAGAGACACTCAATATAAGCGGATACATACTAGAGACACAAAATAAGCGGATACATACTAGAGAGACAATGTAAGCGAATACTTACTACTAGAGACAATATAAGCGGATACATACTAGAGAGACAGTATAAGCGAATACATACTACTAGAGAGACAGTATAAGCGGATTAATACTAGAGACAATATAAGCGGATACATACTAGAGATACAATATAAGGGGATACATACTAGAGACAATATAGGCGGATACATACTAGAGAGACAATATAAGGGGATACATACTAGAGAGACAATGTAAGCGGATACATACTAGAAACAATATAAGCGGATACATACTAGAGAGATACAATATAAGCGGATACATACTAGAGAGACAATATAAGCGGATACATACTAGAGAGACAATATAAGCGGATACATACTAGAGACAATATAAGTGGATGCATACTAGAGAGACAATATAAGCGAATACATACTAGAGAGACAACGTAAGCGGATACATACTAGAGACAATATAAGTGGATACATACTAGAGAGACAATATAAGCGGATACATGCTAGAGAGACAATGGAAGCGGATACATACTAGAGACAATATAAGTGGATACATACTAGAGACAATATAAGCGGATACATACTAGAGAGACAAAATATAAGCGGATACATACTAGAGACAATATAAGCGGATACATACTAGAGAGATACAATATAAGCGAATACATTCTAGAGAGACAATGTAAGCGGATACATACCAGAGACAATATAAGCGGATACATACTAGAGAGATACAATATAAGCGGATACATACCAGAGAGACAATGTAAGTGGATACATACAAGAGACAATATAAACGGATACATACTAGAGACAATATAAGCGGATACATACTAGAGAGACAATGTAAGCGGATACATACTAGAGACAATATAAGCGGATACATACTAGAGACAATATAAGCGGATACATACTAGAGAGACACAATATAAGCGGATACATACTAGAGAGACAATATAAGCGGATACATACCAGAGAGACAATATAAGCGGATACATACTAGAGAGACAATATAATCGAATACATACTAGAGAGACAATGTAAGCGGATACATACTGGAGACAATATAAGCAGATACATACTAGAGAGATACAATATAAGCGGATACATACTAGAGAGACAATGTAAGTGGATACATACTAGAGACAATATAAGTGGATACATACTAGAGAGATACAATATAAGCGGATACATACTAGAGAGACAATGTAAGCGGATACATACTAGAGACAATATAAGCGGATACATACTAGAGACAATATAAGCGGATACATACTAGAGAGACACAATATAAGCGGATACATACTAGAGAGACAATGTAAGTGGATACATACTAGAGACAATATAAGTGGATACATACTAGACACAATATAAGCGGATACATACTAGAGAGACAATGTAAGTGGATACATACTAGAGACAATATAAGTGGATACATACTAGACACAATATAAGCGGATACATACTAGAGAGATACAATATAAGCGGATACATACTAGAGAAGACAATGTAAGGGGGATACATACTAGAGACAAATAAGCGGATAACATACTAGACACAATATAAGCGGATACATACTAGAGAGACACAATATAAGCGGATACATACTAGAGAGACACAATATAAGCGGATACATACTAGAGAGACAATATAAGCGGATACATACTAGACACAATATAAGCGGATACATACTAGAGAGACACAATATAAGCGGATACATACTAGAGACACAATATAAGCGGATACATACTAGAGAGACACAATATAAGCGGATACATACTAGAGAGACACAATATAAGCGGATACATACTAGAGAGACACAATATAAGCGGATACATACTAGAGAGACACAATATAAGCGGATACATACTAGAGACACAATATAAGCGGATACATACTAGAGAGACACAATATAAGCGGATACATACTAGAGAGACACAATATAAGCGGATACATACTAGAGACACAATATAAGCGGATACATACTAGAGAGACAACAATATAAGCGGATACATACTAAGAGACACAATATAAGCGGATAACATACTAGAGAGACACAATATAAGCGGATACATACAGAGAGACACAATATAAGCGGATACATACTAGAGAGACACAATATAAGCGGATACATACTAGAGAGACACAATATAAGCGGATACATACTAGAGAGACACAATATAAGCGGATACATAAATAGAGAGACACAATATAAGCGGATACATACTAGAGAGACACAATATAAGGATACATACTAGAGAGACAATATAAGCGGATACATACTAGAGAGACACAATATAAGCGGATACATACTAGAGAGACAATATAAGCGGATACATACTAGAGAGACACAATATAAGCGGATACATACTAGAGAGACACAATATAAGCGGATACATACTAAAAGACAATATAAGCGGATACATACTAGAGAGACACAATATAAGCGGATACATACTAGAGAGACAATATAAGCGGATACATACTAGAGAGACACAATATAAGCGGATACATACTAGAGAGACACAATATAAGTGGATACATACTAGAGAGACACAATATAAGCGGATACAAAACTAGAGAGACACAATATAAGCGGATACATACTAGAGAGACACAATATAAGCGGATACATACTAGAGAGACACAATATAAGCGGATACATACTAGAGAGACACAATATAAGCGGATACATACTAGAGAGACACAATATAAGCGGATACATACTAGAGAGACACAATATAAGCGGATACATACTAGAGAGACACAATATAAGCGGATACATACTAGAGAGACACAATATAAGCGGATACATACTCCAGGGGCAACTCACTTAAAAAGTTTTGTTGTTTTTAACTTTCATAATTTCCGCGATAATATTTTGTTTCGTGTTATTGTCGCGTCTATTGTTACGATGATGCTCTTTTGTTTGATACTATTGTTACGTTTATAACTCTAGTGATGCTCTTTTGTTTGATAATATTGTTACGTTTATAACTCTAGTGATGCTCTTTTGTTTGATAATATTGTTACGTTTATAACTCTAGTGATGCTCTTTTGTTTGATACTATTGTTATGTTTATAACTCTAGTGATGCTCTTTTGTTTGATACTATTGTTACGTTTATAACTCTAGTGATGCTCTTTTGCTTGATACTATTGTTACGTTTATAACTCTAGTGATGCTCTTTTGCTTGATACTATTGTTACGTTTATAACTCTAGTGATGCTCTTTTGTTTGATACTATTGTTACGTTTATATCTCTGGTGATGCTCTTTTGCTTGATACTATTGTTACGTTTATAACTTTGGTGATGCTCTTTTGCTTGATACTATTGTTACGTTTATATCTCTGGTGATGCTCTTTTGTTTGATACTATTGTTACGTTTATATCTCTGGTGATGCTCTTTTGTTTGATAATATTGTTACGTTTATAACTCTGGTGATGCTCTTTTGCTTGATACTATTGTTACGTTTATATCTCTGGTGATGCTCTTTTTTTGATAATAATTGTTACGTTTATATCTCTGGTGATGCTCTTTTGTTTGATAATATTGTTACGTTTATAACTCTGGTGATGCTCTTTTGTTTGATACTATTGTTACGTTAATATCTCTGGTGATGCTCTTTTGTTTGATACTATTGTTACGTTTATATCTCTGGTGATGCTCTTTTGCTTGATACTATTGTTACGTTTATATCTCTGGTGATGCTCTTTTGTTTGATAATATTGTTACGTTTATATCTCTGGTGATGCTCTTTTGTTTGATAATATTGTTACGTTTATAACTCTGGTGATGCTCTTTTGCTTGATACTATTGTTACGTTTATAACTCTGGTGATGCTCTTTTGCTTGATACTATTGTTACGTTTATAACTCTAGTGATGCTCTTTTGCCTGATGGATTATTTATACTAATAATTCAGGCCCAAAAAAGTAAGAATCACTCTTGTTAGAATAAAAATTTCCATAGATATACTGAATGACGGGTTTAATTATTCGTAAAATAAATGACTTACTGGGACGTATTTCGTGCACAACTGAAGCTCTAGTGTGGTAACTGAAGCTCTAGTGTAATTAACTGAAGCTCTGATGTATTAACTGAAGCTCTGGTGTGATAACTGAAGCTCTGGTGTGTTAACTGAAGCTCTGGTGTGTTAACTGAAGCTCTGGTGTAATTAACTGAAGCTCTGGTGTATTAACTGAAGCTCTGGTGTGTTAATTGAAGCTCTGGTGTGATAACTGACGCTTTGGTGTGACAACTGAATCACCGGAGTGATAACTGAAGCTCTTTGTGATAGCTGATGCTTTGGTGTGACAATTGAAGCTCTGGCGTGATAACTGACACTCGAGCGTGTTAACTGAAGCTCCAGTGTGATAACCGATGCTCCAGTGTGATAACCGAAGCTCCAGTGTGATAACTGAAGCTCTTGTGTGATAACTGAAGCTGAGGTGTGATAAGTGAAGCTCTGGTGTGACAACTGAATCACCGTAGTGGTAACTGAAGCTCTGATGTGATAACTGAAGGTCCGGTGTGATAACTGAAGCTCTAGTTA